CTCATCAATCACCGGCTCTGTTACTCCATTAGGCCCGGGCTCATGAAATATGTCCTCCTCTGAAAGCCCGAGCCGTACATCTCCCGTCTAGACACCTTCCTGTTGTGTGAAGATCAATGCGGCCTCCTCATGCATCATGTGCCTTCCAGGATCCCTCACTGTAATAATCTTGTCTATTCTCCAGTCAGCAGTATAAATGATGGCGGTATGAGAGCGCCGGATTATTCACCAGCCGCCCGCTAATGGATGAGCTGTTTATTGGCCGATAATGTGCATTCATTTAGCTGACTCCTTATATATGACCTGGATTTCTGCTCCCCCCCCCCCCCCCCGCTCATGGGATCCGAAAATGGAGGAAGCGACTTCTGCCGGAACGTGTCTTACCGAAAATACCGTCCTCTGTTCTTAAAGGTTCTTCCCTCAACCTTCACATTTACATCGGAGCCAATCCGATACAACTTCAATATGAATCCCAGGTATGGATACGTTACACGTCGTTACATTGTTACATCTTTGGAAATATACTTTGCCTGGCTGATGCCCCTGGAAGCTGGAAATCACTGGAGTAGGACAGCATTACTACACAACTACTACATCACTACTACACCGCTACTACACTGCAACAACACAATTACTACATCACTACTACACTACTACACTACTACACCGCTACTACACTGCAATGACACCATTACTACACCACTACTATATCACTACTACACTGCTACTACACCGCTACTACACCACTACTACACTGCAACAACACAATTACTACATCACTACTACACCACTACTACATCACTACTACACCGCTACTGCACTGCAACAACACAATTACTACATCACTACTACACTGCTACTACACCGATACTACACTGCAATGACACCATTACTACACCACTACTATATCACTACTACATGCTACTATTCCACTGCAATGACACAATTACTACACCACTACTACATCACTACTGCACTGCTACTACACCGCTACTACACCACTACTACACTGCAATGACACAATTACTACACCACTACTACACCACTACTACATCACTACTGCACTGCTACTACATCACTACTACACCGCTACTACACTGCAACAACACAATTACTACATCACTTACTACACTGCTACTACACCGATACTACACTGCAATGACACCATCACTACACCACTACTACATCACTACTGCACTGCTACTACACGGATACTACACAATTACTACTACATCACTACTGCACCGCTACTACACTGCAACGACACAATTACTACACCACTACTACATCACTACTACACTGCTACTACACCGCTACTACACCACTACTACACTGCAATGACACCAATTACTACACCACTACTACATCACTACTGCACTGCTACTACACCGCTACTGACACACCACTACTACACTGTAATGACACAATTACTACACCACTACTACACCACTACTACATCACTCACTACTGCACCGCTACTACACTGCAACAACACAATTACTACATCACTACTACACTGCTACTACACCAATACTACACTGCAATGACACCATTACTACACCACTACTACATCACTACTGCACTGCTACTACACGGATACTGCACAATTACTACTACATCACTACTGCACCGCTACTACACTGCAACGACACAATTACTACACCACTACTACTGTACACCATTACTACACTACTACTATTCCACTACTACATCACTGCTACACCACTACTATTCCACTACTACACCACTACTACACTGCAATGACACAATTACTACACCACTACTACTGTAAACCATTACTACACTACTACTATTCCACTACTACATCACTACTACACTGCTACTATTCCAGTACTACACCACTACTACACTGCAATGACACAATTACTACACCACTACTACTGTACACCATTACTACACTACTACTATTCCACTACTACATCACTACACCACTACTATTCCACTACTACACCACTACTACATCATTACGACACCATTACTACACTACTACTATTCCACTACTACATCACCGCTACACTACTATTATTCTACTACTACTACTGTACACCATTACTACACTACTACTATTCAACTACTACATCACTGCTACTATTCCACTACTACACCACTACTACACTTCAACGACACAATTACTACACCACTACTACTGTACACCATTACTGCACTACTACTACAGTATTCCACTACTACATCACTGCTACCCCGCTACTATTCCACTACTACACCACTACTACATCATTACGACACCATTACTACACTACACTACTACTATATTCCACTACTACATCTCCACTACACTACTATTATTCCACTACTACACTGTCACTACACTGCTACTACACTGCAGTGACACAATTACTACACTACTACTACTATCCACTACTACACCACTACTACATCATTACTACACTGCTACTACTATACCAGTATTACATTGCTACTACACCATTACTACACTGCTACTACACAGCTACTGCACCACTACTACACTGCCACTACTCTGCTACAATACCAATATTACACCACTACTACACAGCTACTACACTATTACCACATCATCACTACACAGTTACAACACCACTACTTCAGTGGTCATCATTTTCCGGGTCCTGTGCCGAGTGGCTGCCCTGTTGCATTGTGAACACTGGAGGTAGGCCACTCAGCATGGCAGCCATTCAGAGAATGCTTTGCATTTTCTGAATGTATGCAAAGCATTCTCTGATTGGACAAAGTGGAGCGATGGAGCGGTGATGTGTCCCCATCATAACGCCCCCTTATATCAGGTGTCCCCATCAGAGTGCCCCCATCAGAGTGCCCCCTTATATAAGGTGTCCCCATCAGAGTGCCCCCTTACATCAGGTGTCCCCATCAGAGTGCCCCCTTATATCAAGTGTCCCCATCAGAGCACCCCCTTACATTAAGTGTCCCTGTCAAAGTGCCCCCTTATATCAGGTGTCCCATCAGAGTGACCCCTTACATCATGTGACCCCATCAGAGCACCCCCTTGCATCAGGTGTCCCTGTCAAATTGCCCCCTTATATCAGGTTTCCCCATCAGATCGCCCCCCTACATCAGGTGACCCCATCAGAGCGCCCTTTATATCAGGTGTCCCCATCAAAGTGCCCCCTTACATCAGGTGTCCCCATCAAAGTGCCCCCTTATATCAGGTGTCCCCATCAAAGTGCCCCTTACATCAGGTGTCCCCATCAAAGTGCCCCCTTACATCAGGTGTCCCCATCAAAGCGCCCCGTTATATCAGGTGTCCCCATCAAAGTGCCCCCTTACATCAGGTGTCCCCATCAAAGTGCCCCCTTACATCAGGTGTCCCCATCAAAGCGCCCCCTTACATCAGGTGTCCCCATCAAAGTGCCCCCTTACATCAGGTGTCCCCATCAAAGCGCCCCCTTACATCAGGTGTCCCCATCAAAGTGCCCCCTTACATCAGGTGTCCCCATCAAAGTGCCCCCTTACATCAGGTGTCCCCATCAGAGTGCCTTCTTACATCAGGTGTCCCTATCAGAGTGCCTTCTTACATCAGGTGTCCCTATCAAAGTGCCCCCTTACATCAGGTGTCCCCATCAGAGTACCTTCTTACATCAGGTGTCCCCATCAGAGTGCCTTCTTACATCAGGTGTCCCTATCAGAGTGCCCCCTTACATCAAGAGTCCCCATCACAGGCCCTCCTTACATCGGGTATCCCCATCACAATGCCCCCGTACCTTTTATTGGCAGGCAGACAGAGGGCAGGGGGTGGAGCCTCCCGCTGGTGGGAGAGAGTTATTTCTGGCCAAAACTATTTTTTTGTCCATCTCAGAGCAGGCATTGGTTACCCTCTGACCCTCTGCCAGGTTCTGCCAGGTTCTGCCATTGGGGAGATTTCCCTTTAGTTCTCGGCCCAGAGACACAAACATTGATTCCCCCTCCTTAGATATTCCTCACCAGAACAGGTGTCCCCATGGGAAGGTTTCCCCTCACCTCCAGTTCCAGAAAGAACTGTCAAGTTTTGGATTCCCATCACCAGAAGATTAAGTTGGGGGCAGAGAAAAAAAAACTGAAGGAGGTTCTAAAGTTTCCCTTAACTGTCCAAAACTGGCTGGAGATCCACTTCGTAGGACTACAGATCCAACAAGGAATCAACTTGCATTTCTATTGGCCGTATTGCATCTGCAACCCCCCCCGACCCCCCCTAACTCATCGCTGCCAGATCTAAAGGACCTTATTGGTGGTGGAATGAAGGGATGGGAGGGGTTAAGTGTTGTCCAGAGATGGACTATAAAACAGAAGCTAATTGCAGGTCTTACTCCCATCACCGATCCAAAAAATAAATGGATCCACCCCTTATGTTTGGTGGGTGGAGCCTTGTAAATGATTCAGGAAAGAAACTGAATTGACCTAACAGTTCACGTTAAACAAGGGGTTTAGTTTGCACATATTTGCAGATATACTGTATGCGTAAGCCACAGAGGCCACAGGGGCCACAGGGGCCACGTCACGGCACCCCAATGTACTGCAGTCCTAACTCTATACATTTGAGACTCTCCAAAGTTGGAGAACATACACTATAATGCCAAACGTATTGCCCCCCCCCTTCAAATCATGTGATTCAGGTGTTCCAATCCCCTCCATATCATGTGATTCAGGTGTTCCAATCCCCTCCAAATCATGTGATTCAGGTGTTCCAATCCCCTCCAAATCATGTGATTCAGGTGTTCCAATCCCTTCCAAATCATGTGATTCAGGTGTTACAATCCCCTCCCCATCATGTGATTCAGGTGTTCCAATCCCCTCCAAATCATGTGATTCAGGTGTTCCAATCCCCTCCATATCATGTGATTCAGGTGTTCCAATCCCCTCCCAATCATGTGATTCAGGTTTTCCAATCCCCTCCCAATCATGTGATTCAGGTGTTCCAATCCCCTCCCAATCATGTGATTCAGGTTTTCCAATCCCCTCCCAATCATGTGATTCAGGTGTTCCAATCCCCTCCATATCATGTGATTCAGGTGTTCCAATCCCCTCCATATCATGTGATTCAGGTGTTCCAATCCCCTCCCAATCATGTGATTCAGGTTTTCCAATCCCCTCCCAATCATGTGATTCAGGTGTTCCAATCCCCTCCATATCATGTGATTCAGGTGTTCCAATCCCCTCCATATCATGTGATTCAGGTGTTCCAATCCCTTCCAAATCATGTGATTCAGGTGTTCCAATCCCCTCCATATCATATGATTCAGGTGTTCCAATCCCCTCCCAGTCATGTGATTCAGGTGTTACAATCCCCTCCCAATCATGTGATTCGGGTATTCCAATCCCCTCCCAATCATGTGATTCAGGTGTTCCAATCCCCTACAATGATGGGATTCAGGTGTTCCAATCCCCTCCCAATCATGTGATTCAGGTGTTCCAATTCCCTCCATATCATATGATTCAGGTGTTCCAATCCCCTCCATATCATGTGATTCAGGTGTTCCAATCCCCTCCATATCATATGATTCAGGTGTTCCAATCCCCTCCATATCATATGATTCAGGTGTTCCAATCCCCTCCCAATCATGTGATTCAGGTCTTCCAATCCCCTCCCAATCATGTGATTGGGTGTTCCAATCCCCTCCCAATCATGTGATTTGGGTGTTCCAATCCCCTCCATGGACACAGGTGTATGCAATCAAGCCCCTAGGCATGCAGACGGCTTCTACAAACATTGGTGAAAGAATGGGTCGCTCTCAGGAGCTCAGTGACTCCAAGCGTGGTCCCGTGATAGGGGGCCACCTGGGCAATAAGTCCATCCGTGACATTTCCTGGCTACTAAATATTCCACGCTCAACTGTTAGTGGGATTATAACAAAGTGGAAGCCACTGGGAACAACAGCCACTCAGCCACCAAGTGGTAGGCCACGTCACATGACAGGGCAGGGTCAGCGCATGCTGAAGCGCACAGTGCGCAGAAGTCGCCAACTGTCTGCAGAGTCAATAGCTAAAGACCTCCAAACTTGGTGTGGCCTTCAGATGAGCCCAACAACAGTGCGTAGAGAGCTTCATGGAATGGGTTTCCATGGCTAACCAGCTGCATCCAAGCCTTCCATCACCAAGTGCAATGCAAAGCGTCAGATGCTGTCGTGTAAAGCACGCCGCCACTGGACTTTAGAGCAGTGGAGATGTTTTCTCTGGAGGGACCAATCATGCTTCTCTGTCTGGCAATCCGATGGACATGTCTGGGTTTGGCGGTTGCCAGGAGAACGGTACTCACCTGACTGCATTGTGCCAAGTGTAAAGTTTGGTGGAGGGGGGATTATGGTGTGTGGGGTTGTTTTTCAGGGGTTGGGCTTGGCCCCCTAGTTCCAGTGAAGGGAACTCTTAAGGCAACCTTTTGTACAATTTCATGCTCCCAACTTTGTGGGAAGAGTTTGGGGATGGCCCCTTCCTGTTCCAACATGACTGCCCACCAGTGCACAAAGCAAGGTCCATAAAGACATGGAGGATCCAGTTTGGGGTGGAGGAACTTGACTGTCCTGCACAGAGTCCTGACCTCAACCCCATAGAACACCTTTGGGATGAATTAGAGCGGAGACTGCGAGCCAGGCCTCCTCCCCCGACATCAGTGCCTGACCTGACAAATGTGCTTCTGGAAGAATGGTCCAACCTTCCCCATAGACACCCTCCTAAACCTTGTGGACGGCCTTCCCAGAAGAGTTGAAGCTGTTATAGCTGCAAAGGGCGGGGCCAACTCAATATTGAACCCTACGGACTAAGACTGGGGGGCCATTAAAGGTCATGTGTGTGGAAGGGCGGGGCCAACTTAATATTGAACCCTACGGACTAAGACTGGGGGGCCATTAAAGTCCATGTGAGAGGAAATGCCGGCGGCCCAATACTTTTGGAAATATAGTGTATATTATAATGGATAGATTAAGGGCAGGTATGCCTGGAGGGTGCCCACCTCTCCTTAAAGACATAGGAATGCATTGGACACCCAGCAATAGCACAATGGCAGCCTAAGTATGCAGTGCATGTCATGTACTTGGATAGTGAGCCTGACGTGAAGAGGCAGGCCTCCCTTACAGCTCCGGCTCGAGGGCTACTGATAGTGGGACAGTGGCCACAGGAGCATGGCAAGGTATGAGCGCATGTGATCAGTCCAGTAGCGGGTTCTCCAGCAGTGGCTGGCAGGCAGATGAAGCAGCAGAGCAGACTTTTGGCAGAGAGCAGGATCAGGGTGCAGCCATGCTGGATGGATGGATCGCTGGGGAACAAGGTGGAGGATGCGAGGTCAGGTGAGCTGGGTTGGTAGCAGTTGGAAAGATCAGGCATAGATGGCAGGAGGTAGCATAGTTGGGTCACAGGCCAGGTCACCAGCAGAGGATCAATCGGACAAAATCAGGAGACAGGAGAGTAATCCAAGACAAGTGGAGGTCAGGGCAGGTAACAGACAAGCAGAGGTCAGGGCAGGTAACAGAAAAGCAGAGATCAGGGCAGGTAGCAGACAAGCGGAGGTCAGGGCAGGTAGTAGACAAGCGGAGATTAGGGCAGGTAGCAGACAAGCGGAGGTCAGGGCAGGTAGCAGCAAGCAGAGGTCAGGGCAGGTAGCAGACAAGCAGAGGTCAGGGCAGGTAGCAGACAAGCGGAGGTCAGGGCAGGTAGCAGACAAGCGGAGGTCAGGGCAGGTAGCAGACAATCAGAGGTCAGGGCAGGTAGCAGACAAGCAGAGGTCAGGGAAGGTAGCAGACAAGCGGAGGTCAGGGCAGGTAGCAGACAAGCGGAGGTCAGGAACAAGCTGGTTCAGTATCAGGAGTCAAGCACAAGGACCAGGATACACATGCAGAGGCTAAAGACCAAACGGCAATGAGACATTAACTGCAAGTTTAAATAGTCCTTTTGGCGCCAGCACTAGTGACCGGCGTGCACCTGGATGCGCACCTATGCCCAAGTACATACACATCTGTCCGGCCCATCATTGTTCTACGCATGCGCATATTTTTTTCTTTGTTGTATTTTTTACATCGGCCTTCCATGTGCTGCAAAGGCCAGTTATAGGTTGGGGTGGTTGCCATTTGTTTGCCATGTACATTATTCCTTCGTACCCCATTGTGGCACACTGCACATCCTGAATTGCTGGTCTATAGTGGAGATATTTTACAGCCATGTTTCTCAAAAATGTCTACAGTTGTTTCAGGTTCTCTGGCTGTCATCAGTGTAGTGTATGGAAACCATGGCTTCCATGGAGTAGGGCTTATGGACCAACATATGGAAACCATGTTTTCTATTGGATAGGGCTTATTGGACTAACACAACGAAGCAACCAGACATGTTGAGACCATCATCAGTGCAGTTTATGGAAACCATTGCTTATATGGAGTAGGGCTTATGGACCAACATATGGAAACCATGTCTTCTATGGATTGGGGCTTATGGACTGACACAACGAAGCAACCAAGCATGTTTGGACCATCATCAGTGCATGGAAACCATGTCTTCTATGATTATGGACTGACACAACGAAGGCATGTTTGGACCATTATCAGTGCAGTGTATGGAAACCATGTCTTCTATGGAGTAAGGCTTATGGACTGACACAACCATGCAACCAGACATATTGGGACCATCATCAGTCCAGTGTATTGAAATCTTGTCTTCTTTGGTGTAGGGCTTATGGACTGACACAACAAAGCAACCAGGCATGTTGGGACCATCATCAGTATAATGTATGGAAACCATGTCTTCTATGGAGTAGGGCTTATGGACCAACATATGGAAATCATGTCTTCTATTGGGTAGGGCTTATTGGACTAACACAACAACGCAACCAGACATGTTGAGACCATCATCAGTGCAGTATATGGAAACCATGGCTTTTATGGTGTAGGGGATATGGACCTACAGAAACCTTGTTTTTTATGGAGTATGGCTTATGGACTGACACAATGAAGCAACCAGACATATTGTGGCCATCATCGATGCAGTGTATGGAAGCCATGGCTTCTATGGAGTAAGGCTTATGGACCAACAAAACTAGAAATGTGGCCATCATCAGTGCAGAGAACACCACTGTGTTTTCTCGTTGGGTTTACTTCCTGAATTACACCCAGTTACAGATGCAGAGAATTAGAGAAATGTCCTACGCACATACTTGTTTAGGGTTAATGATTGAAGTTATTGAAGTAAGAGGATCAGCATGACAGCCGGCTAGCATTTTACCAAGGAGAGCTCAGCCATTGCAGCCTCTGCTTGTATCTCACATCAGCTTTCTTTTAAATTACCAAATTTCTTGTGCAGTAGTTGTATATGTTATACCAATTGTTGATGAAACTAGAGCTTTCCTGTGAAGAGTATAAAACTGTAGGCGATATAATCATGTGTCATGGGACATGTCTGCATGCCATCATTGTAATTATCATAACCTTTGTAGTCCAACTGAGCAAGCTCGTAGCCTGAAGAAAGAGGACGGCATGCACCCCGGCACTGAACATGATCTGCAAGAGGGGTACGCTCCATACACACTCCTTTACACGCCACATACTTATGGCGGGATAACGGATATGTACAGAAAGGCTTTTTCCTGCATTCCCCCCAGTCTCGACAGCTGGCAGCAGAAAGGAGGACAGAACTCCTCTGCCAGAACTTGCGCTTCTCTGTGCAGCCACAGAAAGGCTTTTTCCTGCACTCCCCCCAGTCTCAGCATCTGGTAGCAGAAAGGAGGACAGAACTCCTAATACAGAACCTGCACCTCTCTGTGCAGCTGCAGCACCCCCTTGTCTCTACCTCTCCTGGTCTCAGCATTCAGTAGACTCCAGCAGCTGACTCCAGACCTCCATTGTTTTTCTTCCAGACCACTGCAGTGTATGGAACGCAGGGCTTCTAAGGAGTAAGGCTTACAACCAGCACAGTGGAACAACCAGACACATTGTGGCCATCACTGGTGCAGTGTATCAAAACTATGGCTTCTATGGAGTAAGTCCTATAGACTAACACAACAAAACACCCAGGAAAGTTGTGGCCATCATCTGTGTGGTGTATGGAAACTATGGCTTCTATGGAGCGGGGCTTGTGGACCGACACAATCGAACAAACAAACATGTTGTCTTTATCGGTGCAATTTATGGAAACCGTGGCTTCTGTGAAGTACAGCTTGTGGACCAACACAATGGAACAACCAGACGCATTGTGGCCATCATCAGTGCAACGTATGTCATCCATGTCTTCTATGGGGTAAGACTTATGGACTGACACAATGAAACAACCATGAACATTGTGGCCATCATCGATGCAGTGTAGGGAAACCTTGGCTTTTGATGGAGTAAGGCTTATAGACTGACACAACAAAGCAACCAAGAACATTATGGCCATTATCAGTGCAGTGCATGGAAGCCATGACTTTTATGGAGTAAAGCTTTAGGACCTTAGGACCAACACAACGAAACAACCAGGCATGCTGTGGCCATCATCATTTCAGTGTATGGAAACCATGTCTTCTGTGGAGTACGGCTGATGGACTGACATAAAGAAGCAATCAAACATGTTGGGACCATCATCAGTGCAGTGTATGGAAATCATGTCTTCTGTGGAGTAGGGCTGATGGACTGACACAACGAAGCAACCAGGCATGTTGGGACCTTCATCAAT